TCCCCCCCCCCCCCCCCAACCATTGATGTTCGATTTCCGGACCATTCAGACCTTGCTGAAGCGAAAACGGTCGTTGCCTTTGATACACACTGAATAAAAAAATCCAGTACAAATTGAACGTTAAGAGAATGGTCCTTTTTAACAACTCCTTGAGGCTGAAAACGGTCCTGCAACAGAAGACCCAACCAAATAACTGAAATAATTACTCTTAACTTTATAATTACTCTGTAAACTATTATGATTTGCTTTTGTTGATTACTCAAACGCCCAAGCGACCATTGGCGCTTGTCGAGTTGCGTAGATTAACGTGATTCAAACGCCTAGACGCTGTCATACTGTCACTTAGGCAGTTGAATCACGCGTATTTTGGTAACTCTAAACCGCCCCTGTCCAGTAACTAATGTAAGCAAGCTTTTTTTAGAAAAGTTAGTTACATAACGTCGTCCTACACCATATTATATTAAATATCTGAATTTCAAATTCACAGGTACGAGCAAAAATAAATAAACCTGTTTTTCGTTTTTCCTGTAAAATTTGTTTTTCGGCACTTTGGCGGTTGAATCACGCGGCTAGTGATATCACCTCTGTAACATGTAAATCTTCTGTCACAGATTTTGTTTTGTCATTTACCAACCCCCCAAAAAACAAAACAAAAACCAAAAACTACAACCCCCCCCAAAAAACCAACAAAAAAAACCCCCAACAAAAAAAAAACTTTGCCTTGAGAAAACATCACACTGGTAAATCTGTAATGTGGAATAGAACAGAGGAATATTCTACTTTTTTTCTTTTAAATGTATGTGTTCTTTTACACCTTTATTTACACAGTTAAGATCATATATATATATATATAGGTGTGTGTGTTTGTGTGTGTGTTTGTGTGTGTGTGTGTGTGTGCGTGTGTCTCAGTGTGTGTTTGTATGCTCATGTGTCGGTGTACACCCATGACTGTGCATTTTCATGTATTGTGTGTGCCTTAGAGTATGTCTTTGAGGGTCTGTGTTCTAGCTTATATTATGCTTGTACATGAAAGTAATGTTCATTTATATCTGTTTCTGATGTATAGTAATTAAACAGTTTTGATTGCTGCCTAAGAAAAAGACCCTTTGTAGTTTCCAGATATTATTGCAACTAAAAGTGAGCACAAGTGGGTATTTTTAGATGCAAAGAGAACTGAATCCATGTTAATATTTTAAAAAGTATAGAATGCCGTCTTTAATAATAGCTTCTGGTACCGTAATAAAATCCATTTTGAACAATTAAAAAAGTTCTTATTTTCTCCTTGTTCTGTTATTCACAGGAAATGGTGGAAACGGAGCCCCTTCAGGTCAGTGGAGTAATTAGTGACATGCGATGCATGTTGACTCAGTGACATCTTAATTTTCTGTTCTGTCACAGATTTTGTTTTGTTATCCCGCCCCCCCCCCCCCCAAAAAAAAATCCCCCCAAAAATTTTTAATTATCCCTCCCCCAAATTCTTTCTTTGAGAAAACCTCATACTGGTAAATATGTAATGAAGAGAAGAGGCATAATTGGTAACTTATACATGTAAATCTTCCGTCACAGATTTTGTTTTGTCATCCCATCCAAAAAAAACAACAACAAAACAAAACAAACAACAACAACAAAAAACAAACGACAAAAACAAAGTAAACCCTTAAAAATATTTATAAAATTACCCCCCCGCCCTCCCCAAACCCTTTCTTTGAGAAAACCTCTTCCTGGTAAATATGTAATGAAGAGAAGAGGCATAATTGATAACTTACAAAAGCATATCGCAAGCCACGTGATTCAACCGCCTAAGTGACAAAATTTCAGAAAGTCACTTTTTGATCCCTTTATGCAGTACAGCCTTTGATACACCTTATAATGTTAAAATCTCAGATCGACTCAGATCGAACCCTATCGATAGCCAAAAGATTTTGTGAAGGCAGTTTGCGTAATCTATCACTAGGTTTGGTATTGTAGTTGAGAAATAGAAAGATGGCATCAAAGAATATGTTAATACTGACTCCACCAATTTGGTAAATTGTGGCAAAAGCTACTGACGAATTAATTATTTATTTAAAGCCAATGATTGACAGCTAAGGGGTGCTTATTTCACATTCTATACAACTAGTGGAAAATATTTTTATCGCGTCTTTTCGCGTTTCTTAATTAACTTTAAGTGTACGCCTTTTGCTGTGTCTGTCACATACCATTCTTGAATCATTGATTGGTCAATCAGTGCTGGGTAGAAGATACTTAATTTGCCACTCGAAAAAAAAGCAGCTCATAAACATGTATTCGCCCTGAAAATTCTCTCATCAACAAACCTTCAACTTCAACTCTCCAGGTCTACACTTCAGTTTGAAACGTATCGCATACATTCGACCTATATGCAAACACAGTGGTTATTCATGACTGTTGCAAAGACAGTTTACATGACTTGGAGATGCGAGCTCCACGATATCAAGTCAAATTACAATAAAGCAGAAGAGGACAAGCAATTTTGTGATAAGTAATTCTTTGACGAACTTGACGAAATTGCTTTCCAATTACCACAAGCAGAATGCACACAAAATCTATCTTGACTAACACTTTCAAAGCCTCAGAGGCCTTTATAGAGAGTACCAAAGAAAGCGGAAAGAGTCGCACATTATCCCAGACGACTTTAGAGAGGTATTAAAAAAGCAACCTGTTGTTGTATGTATGTCGGAAGGATTAATGTGATGTATGCAAGGTAGGAGAAAGAATCTTACAAGAAGCTTGCCCAAAACCCTGTGGATGGGACCAGATTATGTCTAGTGTGCATGGACTTGGAATCAAATTAAAATTTGTTAGTACGGCGTTGAACGCATCTGCTGCACTATATCATAACAGGACCAAATTAGCTGTCTATATTAAAAAAATTTTAGTAACCAAAGATGTGAAGTGTCAAATTTGGCATGAAGTAGCAGGACCATTGACTGCCAATGAATTCTATCTTATGTCAGTAACTTCCCGGATGAGCCTACTGACAATGCCATGTTCATTACATGTATATAGTGATGGCTGTACTTATCCGACTACAATGCTATCTTGGCAAATGCAATCAGCTACATTTGTACCAGAAAGGACAAAACTGTTGAACGCAAATACCTTGAAAAGGAACAGATGCTAATGGAAGTGGACAGCCCGCACAGTGTAATCGGAAGGTCCCTGAAAAAATTGTATGGTCTATATGTGTTCGTGGATAACCTTGAACGCTTTTAAGAAAACAAGACAATATACCCCCCCCCCCCCCCCCCAACCATTGATGTTCGATTTCCGGACCATTCAGACCTTGCTGAAACGAAAACGGTCGTTGCCTTTGATACACACTGAATAAAAAAATCCAGTGCAAATTGAACGTTAAGAGAATGGTCCTTTTTAACAACTCCTTGAGGCTGAAAACGGTCCTGCAACAGAAGACCCAACCAAATAACTGAAATAATTACTCTTAACTTTATAATTACTCTGTAAACTATTATGATTTGCTTTTGTTGATTACTCAAACGCCCAAGCGACCATTGGCGCTTGTCGAGTTGCGTAGATTAACGTGATTCAAACGCCTAGACGCTGTCATACTGTCACTTAGGCAGTTGAATCACGCGTATTTTGGTAACTCTAAACTAATGTCCAGTAACTAATGTAAGCAAGCTTTTTTTAGAAAAGTTAGTTACATAACGTCGTCCTACACCATATTATATTAAATATCTGAATTTCAAATTCACAGGTACGAGCAAAAATAAATAAACCTGTTTTTCGTTTTTCCTGTAAAATTTGTTTTTCGGCACTTTGGCGGTTGAATCACGCGGCTAGTGATATCACCTCTGTAACATGTAAATCTTCTGTCACAGATTTTGTTTTGTCATTTACCAACCCCCCAAAAAACAAAACAAAAACCAAAAACTACAACCCCCCCCCAAAAAAAAAACCCCCAAAAAACCCCCCCAAC